TTCAGCCTGTTCAAATCTCTTTGGAGGGCTTGGCATTACTGTCCTTTCAGTAATGGTGATCTGGGGACTTGGACTTTTTTTTCCAATCTCCTCAAGGCTAAAAAAAAATAAATAATCTATATTTCTATTCTTTCAGTATATTTGTCAGAAATTTTTTTGGTTACAATTTTTCCACTGTTAATAGAATACACTTGGATGTTATCAAATCTTGTTTTTCTAATTGGTTGTCCTGCTCAGCAAAAAGAAATAAACTACATTAGTACACAGTGATAGGCGAGTTCAACTGTCTCAGCAAAAGCGCTTCCAAAAATGTTGGTAGCCTGAGAGGAGGTTTTTATGATAACCAGAAAATGTGATTCTAAAATAGCTCATTTTCCCTGGGACTCTACCCAAGTAGTATGAACTTGATTGCTTCATAAAATGCTTTGAATTTGAACTGGAGCCAGTTACCTGGCAGTAGTGTTGGCTGTCAGAAGGTGGCGCATCTTTCCAAGGAAACTTCTTTCCCAGCTGGGTTGTACTGTATGGGTGAGAAGATGCCCTATTTGAAATACACAAACTGTCATTTCCCAGCAGCATCCACCAGTTCACATTTGCTTGTGTTGTAATTAGTTGCCTGTCAGAATAATTGCTTTCATCTGTAACAAACAGGTACCCCGTGTTATGTGGATTCGGAGGGAATTGTGCGGATGCTGAAACGAGGACTGGGGAATACTTGGATTCCAGTGTGTAACATGAGAGAGCATTGCAAAGGAAAATCTGATCATTACTGGGTCGTTGGCATCCATGAAAATCCCCAGCAGCTCAGGTCAGGTGTTTCACAAGGCAGCGCTTTGTTTCTCCTGGTTTTAATTTACTGAGCACTTCTTACTAAGAGAAACTGGAAACAACTTCTACTAAAACAGGCGGCTGGTACATATGCACAGTAAATTATCTAGTTCATAAATGTAATTCTGCATGGATATTTCATTACTAAATTGGTTTTGGATACACTCATTAGAGTTTTATAATTTGTAACTGACTTATTATGGCTCTTTGGCTTGGCTAACAGGCATGCACACTTTACTGTGAAATCACACATTTCTGATGCATAAGGCTGCCTCTTGCTAGAGAAAGCTGCTAAAAAGTTATGGCTGCTGTTAGAATTCTGCTCCTGCAGTTGATGGTTTTGGGGGGTTTGGGTTGGTTGGGTTTTTTATTTTTTGACTATGTTTTCCCCTTTTGTCCCTTTGAGAAGAACCCAGTCCTGTTATTAATCTGCATCATTAAGCACAGATAAATCGGAGCTGTCTGTTGTTGTATTCATATTTAAACTGTGGCAATGAAGAACAGTTTTGTGAAATTGCTCAAATAAATATTTAGGTGAGAGTTAACCATTACTTTAGACATCACCGCTATCACATTTTATGAAAACTGTGCTCTTTATTGTAACAAGCATCCTAGGCCTTAAGTTGCTGAGCTTACTTTGTAGTCTTCAGTGACCTGCCCTTTTCCTACCAGGGCAGAATCCATCAGCTAACATATTTCACTGAAATTTAGGCTCTTCTACTTTGCTAGTCATATATGTTATTTCAGTGTACGTGACATTCTTTGTAATCCTCTGTGTCCCGTAATATCACTGGTAAATGTCAATTCACTGTCTGGTTCTTCCTCCAAATCATTGCTTAATGTTGGCCTCCAGAAAATTCACCAAAGCTGTGCAGGACTCATCACATTGATGGTCAACTGTGAGTCTGTCATAGTGATTTTTTTCCTTTTCTCCAAGAAAGAGAGTGCTGTTCTCAGCTGCAAAAAACATTTCATTCAAAGCCACTGGCGTATTAAAGATGATAAGTGGGGAGCGTTGTTGTAGAAACACCATTTGCCTTAATTAACACCGATAGCCAGAACACTCATGCTTTGTGGTCTTATTTTTTTTTTTTCTAGTGATGAAACTAGATTATAAAACCAGGCACTTTTGTCAATGCTGCACTGGTGCTGCTGGAAATACAGCTCTTCCCCAGTCGATGTTTTGCTTAAGTGACTGTTACCAGAAAGTACTCGTTCAAATATAATGCTTTAATATATGCTTATCTGTGTCACCCCCATGTCTCTTCATGACATCTAAAACCTCTCATCAAAATAGATGGCAGATGTGCCCTGCTCTTGTTCCAGTGGCCTTCGGTCGTTGGGCAGTTTCTGATTTCAATAAATTGCATTTACATTTGGTAACTGCTGTCAAATCATGTGTTGTGTGCGATAGAGATCTGCGTCTGTTACGTGCACATTTGGAGTTTCTGGTGTGAGCAAGAGCAGCGTGTGCTTTGCTTGTTTTCAAATCTTACATTGGTTACAATGTAAAAATAACCCTTTATAATGCAATCTTGCATACTGCTATACGTAAGCGAGTATTTTAATTACTACTTTTTAAAGAACCAATCCAGTGACTGTAGGTGATGAGAATTGTTTGTGGTTTTTGTTTCCTTTGCACAGGTGTATTCCTTGTAAAGGAGCCCGGTTCCCTCCTACGCTCCCACGGCCTGCTGTAGCAATATTATCTTTTAAGCTTCCTTACTGTCAAGTTACAACAGAAAAGGGACAGATGGAGGTACGGAGTGGTGTTGGGTCCACAGCTGAGAGTCTGAGGTGTCCCCATAGCAGGGATTCTACGAGATTCCTATTAATAACCTCTACTGTGAAAGCGGGTACTGCAAACTCTGAGGCAGACAGGAGGGTGTTTGGGTTCAGTGTTTTTTGTGTAGCTTTTCTGGCTTGGTTTGGTTCAAAAGTGATTCTAGAAGAATACAAACTAAAGCTGCTGCAGCTGTTGCAAGGTTATACATCATCTCTTTCCAACCAGTGAAGTCTTTCTCACACTCTCATTTTTCAGTGGGTAGTGGTTAATGTTCTAGTAAGCACCAGCTTTTGGGATCCAAATCGAGACCCCCTTGAAGGTGTCTGTTTTCTGATATTTCAGGCATAACAAAATTTCTTGAAGGGTTGTTTTTTGCAGTTGTTTGGGTTTTTTTTAATATATACTAAGAACTCATATAATCACACGGAAAATGTAAACCTTCTGGCTTGACTTATTTCCTTAAGATAGAGGCCAGTTGAAGTAAGGTGGACCTGTGGAGAACTTGTAGGAGAATCTCTGTATTTATGCATCAATAATTTATAGGTTGAAATAATTTAATCTTGTGAGATTCAGCTGTAGTGGACAACATAGAAATGAACATAAATTTCTAACCTCAACCTTAGAGACAGTTTAATGCTATTTGAATTTTTTTCTCTTTAATAGAAGTGTAGATAAAAAGTTCCAGTAACAAATACTTTGTCCTTTTTTATTACTTTTCTTTCATTAAGCTCTAGTTTCTCTGTTCTTTATTTGATGGGGTATGTCTTCTCCCTTCACCCCCTACCTCAGCCAAATAATAGAAGGGAAATGCCAGGAACTGTTAATGGAGGAAATACGCACTGCTGGGAGGATAAGGAAACGGATTATTCCAATAGATCTGATGAAAACATCCTGGTTTTGAAGAAGTTTATGATTATTTTGCCACAGAGCTAGCCTGGTGTAATAGCCATATTAGTATTTCCCCAAACAACAAGAGCTGTCTTTCTCTCTCTTTCAGGAGCAGTACTGGCGTTCTGTTGTATTTCACAACCATGTGGATTACTTATCAAAAAATGGCTATGAACTTGATGAAAATGCTAAAAGTCAGTCAGTGAAAGAGCAGCAAGAACTTTTAATGAAACTCTTTGCCGTAAGTACAAATAAATAAAAAATAGGAAGAAGCATTTGATGTAAGTTTTGATGTGATTCCTCTCATTGGAAATCCGGCTTTCTCTCCCAAAAAGAGCTTTTTCTTTGCTATGCAGGTCATGATTGTTGGTGGCTTGACTTTATTCATTCACTCCACTGAGACCATAATGTTCTGGTCCTGGAGTCTCGAGCGTGCTGTGTGACACTGAAGTGTGTAACTCTCAAGGCTTCTTTTCTTTCAGCTTTCGTGTAAACTGGAGCGTGAATTTCGTTGTGTGGAACTTGCTGACCTCATGACACAAAACGTTGTGAATTTAGCTATCAAGTATGCTTCTCGCTCCCGAAGACTAAATTTAGCTCAGCGGCTCAGTGAAATGGCTGTAGAAAAAGCAAGTGAATTGGCAATGGCACAGGAAGACGAAGAGGAAGAAGAGGATTTCCGAAAGCATTTGAGTGCTGGGTAACACACATTTCTGTGATTAAAAACCTGGGAACATTTTTACTGATCCGTTAACATTTTGCTCCAGTTGATGCCCTTTTGCTCTTCTGGACCACAGTTTGCAATGTGTTTGTTATGAAGTAACAGTTTGTGCCGCTTTGCACATAAATTGTACACATAAACTGGTATGTTCTTTGCTCCTAAATTGTACACATGGACTGGTGTGTTCTTGTTCATATCTCGTGAGGACTCACTAGTAGCAGGACACTAACACAAGGTGACATATCTCCACTCCCTGTGTACTGTATGTCTGTGTATAACAGCTTCGGACGCAAAGCAAACGTGGTACCAAGTTGCTCTAATTTTATTTTATGTTTTTCTTCCCCTAGCCTGTGCTGGTTTGGTTTTTTGACTTTTTTTTTTTCTCTTTGCCTCACTCTCTCTACCTTGCTTCATTCCACACCCCTCTTAAAATCCTTCTACCTTCTGGTGATAATAGTGACACATTGAAGGTGGCAAAACCTTGCTGTTTCTATTCGAGTGCTTGCTCTTCTGTGCGGAGCTGTTTGAAGGCCCTGCATGGACTTTCAGCTCGGGTGAATTTCGAACAGTTTCATAGCAGTGTGTGGTCTTTCTTAAAGCTACGTGAGTACCACTTCAGGTGTCTGGACTTGATGTTTCAGGGCGAACTGAAGTGGTTAATGAATCTTTATTTTATTTTTAGTAATCATCACAGTTTAATCAGAGGTATAATGCAAATAAATGCCAAATGTTATTGTTCCTACTTCCTAAATTAGATAAGTTACCTTTCCTTTATTCCAGTTTTCCTTCTGAATGTGGTGAGCACTTCCTTTCTGATTAATTCCTTCGATTTAGTTACAGCAACTCTCCCACGGAGTGGAGTCGGCTGCCAGTCAGAAATGTTCGCCAGGACCAAGAAATGGAAGATGCTGAGGAAACTGATGCCTGTGAGGAAGTAGAAGAAAGACCAGAAGTACCTAAACAGAGTAAGAAAAATGTGTTCTCTGAATAGGCTGGGAGTTATCTAGATGTCTTTCACACACTTAAGAAGGAATTCTGGAAAATTCCCAGTTAATTTGCAGTTTGAATAACTCAGCAGTCTATAGGGCTATGCAAACAATAGAGTTGTAGGTCATTTTTTTGTGTTCTTTTGACATAAAATTTAGGAAAGGCGGGCACGCCACCTGTCACAGGGCACCACAGGTGAGGTGCAGGAGGTTTGGCTTAAGCCATTTACGTAGACAAAATAACGCCATTTGTTGCACTCAGTTTTGAAACTGCAACTGTAGCAGGGACTAGGTTTTCTTCTACCTACTTAGAACAGGTCTGGTAGTTTCTGATCAGTCTTATTTGGGTGCTGACATAAAAAATGCATAGTAATAACAGGGTGACGTGCAGAAACTCCAGCCTCTGAGCTTCCCGTTACCTGGAATTCCCTGTGGGAGATGTGTGGTAGTGTGAGCAGGTGCATGTTCCAGCCTGTGCCTGCCGTCGCTGCAAAGAAACAGGTTTATTGTCTGTCATCTGCTCTGTAGCTGCTTGCTCATGCATTGTATTTAGTAACTGAGGGACTTTTGGGGATATCATGTCTGATACTATTTCTAATGGCCTGGGTCACCTTGTGAAACGGTGACTGGTTTCAACTCAGATGTTGCAAGAGTTGGACTGATAGACAAGTAGTTTGCTGGGCATGTTTTAAGGAATAAATTTAAGGTTTAGGGAATAAGTATACTCTTAAAGTTAAATCCAGGTACAGATAACAGATGGTTTTGTAGAAGCATGAGAATCATGCTTTAAAATAGAGATTGTTTTACTCTAACTTGCTTGTCTGTTTGGGATTTCATTTTTTAACAAGTTATACTATTACATTTTATTGTGCTTAAGGATGTACCTTTTTCTTTCTTCTGAAGGGCCAAATCCGTTCTCCAAAGGTGTCACTTCAGCAGAGGAGACTACTCCAAAGTCTGGTGAGTAAATCTCCATTTATTGCAGGATGACAACTCTGTCATGCTTCACAACATCTGCTCCTGTTTTTTATCTTCCGTTCTCGCATTGCTACTAAAATTTAGTGCATAACAGTGCTGTCAAGTGGTAACTTGCATTGATCGCTGCTCTCACGTTGTTAAGAGGTTCGCTATTCCTCTTGATGTCTTCATTACCTAATGATGGTCCATAAACGCCATGCTGATGGCCTTTGTTGTGCCAAATGCTGTGTTGGTTGTCTGCCTGTCTGTGTCATGAAGGCATTCTTTGGGACAGGGGAAAAGTGAGAAAAATAACCAGTTTATTTGTTTTATTAATCACAGGCACATTTATTGGTTGCACTTTTAATGCAGAGTTAGTAACCCTGCTGCAGAGCTGTGAGCTTGAGCAGACAGGAGCAGAACGCGACCTCTTGCTGCTTCTTGCGCCTTCCCTCCTGCCTCAGCGAGAATAATAGGAGTGGAAACGGATTTGGGAGTGGAGGAAGCACTGGGTCTTCCTGTGGTTTTGTATTTTAAGCCGTTGGTCCTGTGTGGCATTTCTGATGACTCGTAATGGCTAAGCACATGAAGTATAACCATCATGCGATTATTAAAGTGTCCTTTCTCGTTATCTGACCACTCTCAAGCCTGGTGGAAACTTTTCTTTGGTGTGGAATAGTTGATGCCTTTGAGTTCTCCTCTTCAATTTTCAGTGAACAGAGGCTGAAACACACAAATTGAGTGTGAGTCTTGCTCTTTGGAAATGAGGCTAATGTCTCATCTGCTCATCTAAAATGTGCACATTACTTCATAGGTTTATATGTGTGTGTGTGTGTACATAAACGCACACATTTTTACATTCTTTTTTCTTTCCTGTTAAGTAGTTGTAATTGCATCAAGCAGCCAAGGACGAGTGAATCCCTTTAAGGTAAGAATTTTGCAGCTCATTTGATCATGGTGTTCTGAAAATCACAACAGGTTATTTTACCTATGTATAGCTATGACAGAAATCTTGGAGGGGTGGAGGAAGCGAATATGACAGAAAATAACTAAAATGTCTAAATAACTACATGTCAGTTCATTTGTTTTGCTAGGTGTCATCTAACAAAAAGGACCCAGTGGTCCCCTCAGCAAATGTTCTCGACACTATGAGTAAATACTCAAAGAAAACTTCTTTGTCTAGCAGTCAGGCTGGGAACAAGCAGAACACTCCAGTTATAAAGCCTCTGATTCCCAAACCCAAGTCCAAGCAGGTAGTGTTTCCAGTCTTTTTACTTTGTTTTGGTGAGCAAAGAGCAGTAAATTGAATTTTACCAGCTTTTATCAAGTATGAAATCCTCTTGATTGAGTAGAGCATCTTAGATGGAGAAGTCCCTTTAAGCATACTGCAGAAATTAGAAAAGCACATAAAACGGCAAGAGAGAAATTCTGTTGTAGAAACTATGTTCTGCACTGAATCTTGTGCTTTTATTTTAAATAGGGTTAACTAAACCTCTGCTGTGCTGAAATTGGATGGCTTAGATGCTGTATTAATGCAAGTGATTATTATGTCCTTAGGAAAGGTTTGGTTTTTATTAGGCTATATGGTGTGTGTTGTGCAAGAGTGAGGTGTTTTTAACCTTTTTTTGTTGTTTTTTTTAACTCAATTTCTATAGGCTTTAGCAGCCTCCTTCTTCCAGGTTCGTACACCTAACTCTGGTGAAAAAACAGTGAAAGAAAGAGAAGAAAAACCAGGAAACGAGTCTCATGAAGTCCAAGTCACTGCACAGGACAACACTGAAAACAGAAAGTGAGTGGGCATTTGCGTCTCAGTGCGATATTCCAATTTTGATAAAATAGCAAGCCCAAAACTGATTTTGTTCTGAAGACGTTAGACTGGCCAAAGCAGCATAATGTTAAGATTAAAGTGTTAACTCACAAGCTGTCACGTTCGTGAATTTGCTTCAGAAATTTTAGTGTGCTGCTACTTGTGCTGTCTGTATTATCAAACAAACTTGTATAAAAGACCAGCTGGATTTCCAAATTGCCGTGTTACAATCATGGTGAAAGAACAGAGAAAAGCATTCGGTTCATTAAACGTGCATGGTAGTGTTATTCAAAGTAGAAGTTTTGCATTGGCCTCAGACAAACACATCTCTGCATGAATAATAACAGTGCAAAATGCAATTCTGGGGCTCTAAGCAATGATTTTTGCCTTGTTACTACTTACGCATCTGATAATGACCTTTGAGTGATAAATGAAACCATGCTGCTGTGCCAGCTCCAAGTATAGGAAATACTTAAAGGTTAAACATCTCTAGCAGTTCTCAAAGGAGCTAAGGTTTCTATGTGGAAGTGTAAAAGCTTTATTGTAGCATGGTTGTTTTTTTTTAAAAAGAAAACAAGCAAAAAACTTCAATCACTTAAGGAGCATGTCTCTTCCTAGCTAAGACTCTAATCTGTCTTGTTCCTCTGGAGCAGATATATTTTCTAACAGTCCCAGTCCTCATGAAACTTGCATTATTATAATTATGTTTCATTTCGACTTCATTTAACTGAGGAAGATGAAGGTAATTATTATTCATTTGGACTAGCATTCTTTACGTTAACCTTTACAGATAACGTTCTAAAACAAGTGGCAAGGAGAAGGATTAGCTGAAACGTGCTCATATACGTGTTCTATTTTTAGGTTGATGGTGCCCTGTCAGAAAGGAAGAGAACCATTATGCTTTGTCATGCTAAAACTGAAATGTTAATCTCCGTATATATCACAGTTTTATTAAAAAATGCTTGACTTAGCCTTGCCTTGTCAGCATGTTCCTTAAGCGTACTGCAACAGGAGAAAGCAAACTGCTGACTGTATATAATGTATATATGTCTTTTTTTCAAGAATAAAAAATTCCACATAAGTGTTGTTTAGAAATGTTTTGGGGGATATGGTTTTCCTATAACCTTCTTAAACAGACAGTTTTTGTGTGTTTGTTTTAGACCAAAGACAGGATTCCAGATGTGGCTAGAAGAGAACAGAGCAAACATTTTGGCAGATAATCCTGATTTTAATGAAGCAGAAATAATAAAAGAAGGCATGAGTCGATTTAGAACACTGTCGTCAGAAGAAAGAATGGTAAGAAAGCATCCTCTAATTATGGTTTTTCTGGGAATTTTCCCCCCCTGTGGAATCCCTTGGTTATTTTTAGTTAAGAATTTTTTTCTTTAAATTCCACTGTTCTCCATGTTTGTGGACTTCAGTTTTGAATTGGGCCAGGATCTATGGCATATACTTCATGAAAACAGAAACCATTGGAACAATAAGTAATAGCAGAGAACAGCTTTTCCAAAGTAGGGCACGTGAAAGAAATTTGGTCAATGAAGAAATATCGAAAGAAAAGGGAAGGAGTTAAAAGTCACACAGTCAGGCTTCATCAATTGGGGCTTTAATTTGTCCTGAGGCCTTTATGACAATTAAGAGCTTCAGTTTCATGTACAGGCTCAAATGAAGTATAGTTGTGAAAGAGAATGCTGTTACCAAAAAGGAAAGGGAGGAAACTGATCCTAACTTGATCCTTATTAGTTCTTAACAGGAATTACTTCAGTGATTTAATTGTTATTTCCATATAATCAAAGAAAGAAGGTGTATAAAACAAAGTGGTGAGGTTTGTAGCCTAATTTGTAGTTTCCTGTTTAATGATGCACTTTCTTCAAAGGTGTGGACTGAGAAAGCAAAAGGAGGAACAGTTAATGATTTAACGGAAGATAAAAAGCGAAAGCGTCCCACAGCTGAGGAAGACGAAATGAAGAACCAGGAGCAAAAATCAGAGGACTCAAATTTATCCAAAAAACCAAAGCCTTTAGATCAATCTACAAATGTCAGGTTGTCAGCTTTCGCGTTCAAGCAAATCTAAGTAATGTGGTACCTCTTCAGCGCCTGTTTTCTGAAAACATTCGGGAGTTCTGCATTGAGAAACTTGCTGCCCTGCTCAAAGAGCACTAGCAAAAGAGAGTGCCTTGCTCCGAATAGTCTTTTAGAAAGTATTTTATTATCAGTTCTTGAGGGAAATGTTACATGTGCTCTCCTGATATTTTGCAAGTTACTAGTATAAAAAGCTTGAAAGCCAAACTAATACTAAGGGACCCGTTTCCTAGAAGCACAGTGCCACACGGTGTTGTGTAGCTGTGTGCCTCAGTATTTGTAGTATTTGATGCGAAATACAGATCTTTCTGGGGAGGATAAACTACGTCCAAAAGCCGTCCTGTGGTTTTAGAGACTCAAAGGCAGTGACGAAAGACACTCGAGGAAATGGGAGTGAGGGGAGGATACGTTAATGTGGTGCTGGTGTTCAGCTGCGTTTTCAACATCTGTGGCTGTGGCAGTGGCAGGGAGCAGCCTGATACGGATGGGGAGAGAAAACCAAGGCAGAATCTGAACTGGGAAGGTCTGAGGTGCAGAAGTGAGCCATTCCAGGCTGTGCAAATGTATTTTCCCAGTCTGTGCCTCTGCAGGGTCCAGAAAATGCTCAGAACTTGAAAACCCCTGTATTGTTTTATGTAATGTTTGTTTTTACAATAAAATGTGAATGTTTGTTTTAAGGTGGTGATCATCTTTGCCATTTTTATCATTAAAGTGAACAGACTTCTGTCTACAAATCACAAGGCAGCCGTGTTTACCTTCTCTGGAGAAAAGACAGGAGGTTCAAGAAATGTATTGGAAGCAAACTCAAAGTTTGAAACTTTTTTTTTAAGAATAAGGTAAAATAATTTAACTCTGGCATAACAACTGAGATTGAAGACTTCTAATTTAAGGGAGGGTTTTTTTAACTGTATGTAGAAAAAAAACCAAGCAAAGAAGGGTCTTCTTGTCAACCAGGGATGGTAAATGCATAAAGACCTGAAGACCTGGCAATTTAAATGCTTTTTTCATCCATGGATCTTATATATTGCTACACATTTTATTTGTTCGATGCTGATTGTAGACAGCAAGTGATAATTAACATAAGTCATAATTAATCTTCTATATTGAAACAATGCAGGAAGTTCAGGAGAAATGGTATATTATAGTGATTTTTCTAAATTCTTTGGAAAGAAAGAATTGTATTGGAGACTGGAATTTTTTTAGGCAGTAAAGCGTATTTCCACATTTGAGTGTATTGGACAAAAATGGAATTGCATTGGTAAAAACGTCCTGATAGGAAAATCCCTCTGAGCCTGGTGAACTGTGCGATGTTTTCTTTCTGCTAGAATAGGTCTTTCTGATGAGGAGTGGAGCGTCTTCACTGTGGTGCAGGGACACGGGCCGGGCGTGGATGGATGGCCTTATTTTCATTTACGTACGTATAATCTGTTCTCGAGCTGAGCTGCCTGCCAGGCGTCCTTTCCGCAGGCCAAACAGGAGAAATTGTCTCATTCTGCAGTAAGTCAGCAAGGTTTTTAGTGACACCTCAGGGCTTCTCTATAAAGGCTGCATAAAATTACTCGAGCAAGGTATTTTATACCTTGGGCTCAGGACATTGAAGCCAGTTGGGCTTCTGGCTGTTGGGACCGTGGCTGCCCTGCAAAGCATCCAAAGTCCTTTTGGCTCCTGTAGGAGGGAGGAGGCATCCAGAATAAACTTCCATGGGAGCTTTCTGAGAGCTGAACGTTTGCACTCCTGTAGTTCTTCTGAACAAACACGCCAAAGGTCTGTTTTTAAGGGAGGCTTCTGGATTTTGCAGATGGTTTCATGGAAATCACTGGCAACGTCAGGCACCACCCTGCATGTCCCTGGTTCCTCTTTGTTTTTCTCCTGGCTTAGTTTGTGCCCTATAATGCTTGTTGGGCTTCATCAGACCCCATGTCACAGCTTTGGGGTCAGTCTGGATCTCACCGCTCCCCCCACAGCTGCTTAGAGGTGGCAGAACTGTTTCCAACACCAGAGTTGAAATTTTGCTTCAGCGTTTCGTGGCTGTGATGGTGACTGCAGCAACAGTTTTTAGTTGTGCCAGTTGCTCCTGTCCACAGCAATAAAATAAACAGCCAACAGGGGCTATCAAAATCATGGAAGCGACTACCTGGCTGCTTTAATACTGGGAGCATCATCTCCCACCAGGCTGCTCTTGTGTTTCTTTCATCAGAGATGGGTTTTGCTCTGTTACACAGCTCGGGGCAGAGCTACAAATACTCCTCCATCACCTGGAGCCTTTCAGGAGCTGCACTGAGCCGGCCAGGAACGGGGTGCGCTCATTCGGCAAAATCGCTGTCGGGGCCACGCTAGGTATGACTTTCAATTCAGGTGGAAATGAAATGCCAGTCCGAAAATGGACAGAAACCATGGAATGGATTTTCAAGTAAAAACAGTTACATCTTTACTAGCTGTTTTGCTTTGTTTTAAAAGATGCTTTCAAAAGAATTTAATAGAATTTCACTTAAGTCTCCAGAAATACTTGTTTGTTCTGATTTTGCCATCTTCCTGCTGGAAAACCAGACATTTTAGAGAAGCCAACCTGGAAACTGTTTCAAGGAACCTGCCTGATGTTTGTTGTTCCTACGGTGCTCAGAAAACCAGAGAGGGAGGATTGCACCGCTGAAATACCCAATATTTGTATCGGATTTGAAAGGCTCCAGCTATTGACCCACCACTGGTGGAGCTGGGCAAAGGAGACCCTGCGTTTGTACAAGATTTCCCCTCTCAAACATCTCCTGGCTGTGAAACATCATCTTCCCAAAGAATGTAACTGTGACAGTCATGGAGTGACTCAGCTTGGCGGTCCTGGCTAGCGAGTCCACAGAGAAGACAACAGCGGTGAGAAGGTTGGGTGTGTGATGCAGTAGAGCTCTTTGGTGAAGAACAGCAGCCCTGGCTGCATCTCTCTCCTCCCGGCTGATGTGCTGCTGTATAAATGCAATTGATTTACTTAACGGCAGGCAAAACACCAATACCCGCCCGGGCTGCAAAAAGAGCCTCTTGATGCTGGACTCAATTGGACACGAATGGCAGAGGAAATTTGCAGGAATCGTTTCAAGCCGCGTGTTGCCAGGGAACAGTCCAGTCTACAAATCACATTATCGATCCTGGGGTGATAGCGGTGAGAAGAAACCGAGGGGAGCGATGCGGGGACACGGCTGCTATTTCTGGCGCGTGAATCAAAAGCCGCTCTTGGTTTGGAAGTGGACTGGAAGGACCCAGAAATCACCCTGGCTGATATCAGGTAGCTCCCGTCAGAAACAGGGTACAGGTCCAGGGAGCTTGGAGAGTTGTGTTATACGGCTGTTTTCACGTTCTTAAATACATAAATATGAAATTGCCTCCTGCAGCCTGCCCAGACCCATCACTCTGAAGCTTTCCAAATTTGGGGGAGCAAAGGAGTCCATCAGCATGATTTGCTGTGTCCTATGAAGATGTGAAAAGAAAGCCAGGGGAGGGCAAAACTGCTGCCTTGGCTCCCAATTTCAGCTCTAAAAGGTGAGACCTTACTGGGGAAATTAAAATGCAGATTGCATCTGCAGGAGACCCCTCAGATCCTGGGTAGCCTCTGTCCTTACAGAGCAACAAATCCCCCAGTAAGAGATGAGCATTGTAGGAGCCTGTGATCAATTTTGCTTGTTATCCCGGGTAATAGAATTAAATTGCTTGTGATTCACTCTCTAATCTGACGTGCTGTGATTCCAGGGGCTGATAAATCCCAAGCTGTATTTCCAGGCCATGGGAAGGATGTCAGTGGGCTGTGACAGTGTCATCCATCGCTGCCGTGGGCTCAGTTATTATTTAAGGATCACGTTTAGGCCACGCTCTGGCTTGATGTTAATAGCAGGATCGATCTGCGTTGCTTTGTTCCTGCTTGAGCTGTTAATGATACACTGGGGCACGGCAGACAGTTTGAGAAGGTGGAATTCATCATTTTTAACTTTAAGCTCTGAGCCCAGTCCTAAATGCTCCCTCTTTATAGTCAACAGAGGAAAAATAGGTGTCTTTCGTGCATGATTTATTTCAGCCTCTTAGCAGCTGTCAGCACAGAAATTGCCCTTGAATACCTTTTAGATGGCTTCATCTCTAGCGAGAGCTGCCTGGGGGTCTCTTCATTCTTAGCCAGCTTGGCGTGGAGAGGTTTACTTTGAGATCCTGCTCTTCAAACCTTGAGGAGCGCCTTGGCCACACAGGGAACAATGCTCCAGTCCCACTCCACGCCACCAAAATCACGAGGAAGCTCGAAAGACTAAAACAGGTCAGGGAGTTGGAGCCTGAATACAAACCCGCTTCATCCTGTCTCTATTTTTGTATTTGTCTTGTTTTAGAAGAAGATAGAGGCATCTGATGGGCTTTCCCATGGACCACGCACCCGCGTGCCCCCACCTCGGCACCCAGCAGCACCCCCTGACTCTCGCAGGGACCCCCCAGAGGATGCACTGGGCTCTCGCCTTATTCTAGATTTGCAAATTATTCAAGTTACAGCCTCGGGGCTTTTTGCATGCCCTGTTTTCTTGCCTTTTAAGAATCTCTCTTCAATCTTTGAACAGTGAAAATAACCCCCAAGCTCTGAGTGAGTGCAGGAAAGAGAAACAAGGCACATTCCTTCTAGGAAATTCATCTTTTAACATCATTGTACGGTACCGTCTGCTGCTCTTCTCTTTTATAGCGTGTGCTTAACTTTTTTTTAATATAATCAGAAATAGCAAATAACAATTTCTTGGAAAGGCTACATGAGAACATAGGATGTAATTAATAAGGAGCTAGCAATAAAATCTTATCATAGATAAGATATTAAAAAAAAAATAATAATCCCAAGCATTAGTGCTTCTGCTTACCCAGCCGATGTGGGTTTGTGTTTCAGAGGGAGAGGACTTTGCTGTGGCCGGAAATCGGGCTGTGTCCTAACACAACCCGACACGCCCCTAAATTACCTAAACCTGGCAATTCTGCCTTTGCAAATGC